GTCCCCACCCAGCCCACCCTCCAAAGCCCGATTCCATTGAGACATGAGGTCCCCCCACGCCATCTTCGCTTTCCCCTTCTGGCTCTTTTGAACCTTCCTGGGAAAACTGGTCGTTTCACCCATTCCATCATTCAAAAGGCGGGCCATGGCGCCAGGCTAATGCGAGGAGAGAGTTGGAAGGCAGGCCCTGGCCTCTCGCTCAAACCCCCTGACTAATGGCCCCAAAAAAACCCCAAACACCTCAAACTATCGAATTGATGCCAACTCTTACCCTCACACAGTCTAGAACTGCCCTGTGGGTTCCCGAGACCATGACTTTTTGGGGGAGTAGTAAGCCTCCTCTTTCTCCCATGGAGAGGCTGGTGGTTTTGAACTGCTCACCTTGCATGGCAGCCCAAGGTACAAGCACTATGCCCCCAGGTGCCCTCAGCATCCAAGGCAGGTCGTTGTTTATTCGGCCGACACTTAGGGGGCTCCTTCAGGGTGCACAGGTGAGAAATTGGCAGTCTGAGGACTGTTCGGCAGGCAGTCACTGTCCACCTGAGCTTGTGGACAAGATCTGTGCGGGAATACTGGACAGAAGGCACCCAGCCAGGAGTCGGGCAACAAGCATGTCCGTGTGGCGCCATTGAGACAGGAAGAGACATCCAAGAGAGGGCTGGCACGGCCCCAGCTCCTGCCTGGTGCGGCCACCTGGCTCTGGGGGGGCACAGGGCATGCTGCAGGGTGCAAAGGGACAGCTTGGTGCTGTTTCCAGGAGCCAGGCTGGGGAAAGCTACTGGACAGGCAAGAGGCTCACACGAGTGGAGCTTGGAGGCAGGAAAGTACTCGGGCTGGAATCCTAAGTAATGAATGAGTAGGAGTACTGGAAATACGCTTTGGGACTGCACGATGCACCCTTTGCCAGGTGTTGATCGCACCCCTACGGTGTCCCAGGCTTGTTCCCGGCATTGGGGACACTGCTGTGGACAAGACAGACCACACCTCACCCTCAAAGGAGCTGGTGGTGGAGCGACCCATCCGGAGAGGGCCTCCGTTTGCGCTTCTGGGGAGGAGAGGAGCCACGGCAGGCTGACTGATGGAATACAAGAGGCTGGAGAGAGTAGGGTCAGCATGTTTGGAAATCCTTGGTACTATGCCAAAAAAAAACACAAAAAAAAAACAACATGATGGGTTTGTGACTCAGTTCCCCTCGTCCATACCAGGGAGCAAGATTCCACGCCTGCTTCCTTTGGGTACTGGTGAGGTTTGGGCTCCGTGGTTTGGGCAGGCGTGGTGCCCCGTCGCTCCAGTCCTTTGGGGTGCAAGTGGTTGTTGGCCCCCATTCCTTTTGGACCTCTGCCGCCACGGGCCCGCTCACAGCCTGTCCCTTGCTGCCCTGTCCTCGCAGGTTGGCCTCTGGAAGAGCCAGGCCGGCTCCCTGCAGGCGGGGCCCGGTGGGCCCGAGGCGGCGCGGGAGCTGCAGCAGGCGCAGGGTGCCTTGGCCGTGGCGGAAGCCCGAGAGGGCCGACTGCGGCGCGGCCACGCGGAGGTGAGGCGGCGCGCGGAGGACGCTCGGCAAGCGCTGCTGTGCAGCCTGCGCCACGTGCGCGAGCTCCAAGCGCAGGCGCAGCAAGTGCCAGGCCTGCAGCTCTGGGTGCAGCAGCTAGAGGCGGAGCTGCGGCGCTACAGGTGAGCCGAGCAGGGTGGGTGGCGCGGGAACGGGGCGGAGGGGAGGCGATGGCCCCTGGACAAGGGGTCTGGGTCCCCAAAGTCAGTTCCTGTTCTCCCAACGCTCAGGGGTTCATGCCCATGCCCTAAGTCATGTTCTCGTACCCCTCACCCTCGTTCAGCCCTGTGACCATTCAATTGTGCATTCTGCCTTTCGCCCATCCGTCCTAACATTTCGTACGTCACCCTTCGACTCCACTGCTTGCTCTCCAGCCTGAGCTAAACGCTTGTCCCTGACGCGACATGTTTGATCCTCCCAACAATCCCATGAGGTAGGGCCTGTGATATCCCCATTCTACAGAGGAAGAATCAGGTCCCTTATGCTAGATGGTGGATTCCACCAAGGCAGGAACATGGCCTTCAACCAAGATTCAAATCTTGACAGAATCTCTGAGAGATGGTCATCTTGGGCAAATCTCTGAGCCTGCCTCCTTTCCTGCAGAACGTGCATGGGAATCCCCTGCCAGGAGTGGTGCTGTGAACAGGAGCCCCCTCGTCCTTCCACATCACAAAGCCTACCTGCCCTGACTTCTATACTTACTGAGTACCTGCTCTGTGTCTATGTTGCACCAGACACCAGGGATATGACCAAGAACCAGGCAGGCAAACCTCCTTGCCCTGGAACAGCCACCCCTTGAGTGGGGCAGGCGGCAGGGCAGTAGCTCAGCATCTGAATAAATGAGTCCCTGCAGGTTGGACGAATCTCTGGCAAGGGTGGAGACAGAGTCTCTGGCTCCTTTGATGTTTCCATGAGAGCTGAGATATTTATGGGCAAGATGGGCCCCCAGGGGAATAAAAAAGGAGAGTGTCCTAGAGTGGGAAGCGAGATAAGGGGACCTTGGCACATTCCAAAGAGAAAAGGAGAGCAGTGTGATGGAAGGGGTGAAGCTACCGGGGCAGGCAAAGGCCATTCAGACCCTAAAGGTTACACAGTAAGGACTTTACTCTCAAAACCAAAGGAAAGCCACACAAAGAAGTTTTACGTAAAGGACGACAGGATCAGATCTATATTCAAGAAGAAAAGGGGGTGGGGGGGAACCCCGGCTTCGTTGTGAAGAGCTAGGGGAAGAGAGTATGAGCCAGTCACGCGGGGCTGCTGTCTTTCTTCCATCATGGGTAGGAGACAGTCTCCCCCCGGCTGGAGACAGGGCAGCCAGAGGGGTGGATTTGAGCCTCACGCCTCCAAGGAGGGGCAGTGCCCTTGTCTTCTGAAGCACTTGGGGCTGGGAGATGAGAAGGCAGGAGGAAGGCGTCCTGTGGAGGTAGACTCCGTCCTGTGGAGGTAGACTCCGGCCAAACTCTTGCACTTCCAAATGTTTGGGAAGTCATTTCCTGTTTGCATAGCTGAGCATCTGAAGAACTGGGCGGGCGGGCTCGGGACCATACTCAGCCTTGGGCTTTCTCCAAGAGGAGAGAGAACAGGTCTGCACTCTCCACACACACACACACACACACATACACACACACACACACACACACACCACTAAATTCAGAGTCAGCCCTTCATAGCATGATTGATTATAAGAGCAACTATAAACACGGGTCTAGCCCTTTAGAGTTGGAAAAATGCCTTTGTATCCATTGCATCATATTATCCTCTGAAGGACTATACAGATTAGAGGTGACATCCATTTTCCAGATTGTGGAACAGGAGGCTAGGAGAAGCTAAGCAACCTACCCAAGGCCAAACAACCAGAAAGTGGAAAGTAAGGTTTACCAGACCCTGTGTTCTTTCTTTCTTTCCTCTCTACCTTTTCTGTGGTCTCGTGTCTACTGTTCACGCATAAGAAGGGCGGGCAATGGCTGGGGGTGGCTGGGGTGGGTATTTCTTCCAGTGAGGCTTTGCCCCTTCCCCACCAGAACTTAACACCTGCATGCCATTGGCCAGAACTGTGTCGTTTGGCTATGCCTACTTGAAGGGAGTCCGGGTATGATGGTGCTCTAAACAAAATCTTAGTAGGGAAAAAAGGGAGACCAGATAGTGCAGAGACTATCAGCAGGGTCTATCCAAAGGTGTCACTCGCCTGAGGAAACGGAGGCCACACACTGTGTGGCTCCAACTGGGCCATGGTGCTGTCACTTGTTTCTCTGCCCCTCTTATAGTATGTCTGCTCAACCTTGTCCAACCGTCTCTCAGGGGACAGACCTTCTCTGTCCATTTGAGATGCTCGGGGTGGGGAGGGGCGTTGTTGTTTTAAGGACTGACTTCTTGCCGCAGCACTCTCCCTCTTTGAAGAAAGGAAAGTTGGGATGGAACGCTTCTTGCATAGTCATTGGATAGTAAGCATGCCGGACACTTCACCCAGGTCACTTCACAAGTGTTTGGGGGTACAAAAGAGATCCCAATCTCAAATGCAGTGTAAGGAGAACCCCTAATTAAATCTTAGATGGGACGAGGACGCAGCATCCAGGTGAGGGAGACCATTAGCCAAAGGCCAAAATGGCATCCAAGGATTCACCGTCGGGACCCTAGTTCCTCGGGCATGGAGCAGAGGAAACTCACACGTGCCAGACTGGTGGCAGGTGGACACATCGCAGTCACCGGTGGGACTACAGACGCCAGAACAGGACCATGATTGGGACCTGTACATCGTGTGGGATAGAAGCGCTTACAAGATGGTCCAGGGCCTTCCAACCAAGGCTTTCAGAGTACAACTCAAGACTAGGTGACCCTGGGCAAGCCCCCACGGCAGACTGCCTTTCCCCAGGCTGACTGGAGGGGGATGGAGGTACCTAATCCACGGTCCAATGCGCGTGGCCTGCTGGCAATCAGTGCCAGCACTGATCAGAAGTTATTCAAGGGACGCATAAGCCATGTGGGGACACTGCAAATGAATCTGGGGCCTGTAGTGCCATCGGCAACCTGCCAAAAGAGGACGCAGAATTTAAATTCTAATACAGTAGCCTCTAAAAAAGAAAAAAAAGAAAAAACAACCACCCCACTACTGTCTTGTCCGTTCCAACTCCTAGTGCCCCTAGAGGACAGAGTAGAACTGCCCTGTGGTTTTCTGAGACTGTCACTCTAGGGGAGTAGAAAGCCTAGCGTTTCTCCCTCCCAGGGGCTGGTGGTTTCCAACCGCTGACCTTGTGGTTAGGTTAGCAGCCTAAAGTGTGACCGTGAACCATTCTGCCCCACAGGGCCCCCATTCGCCTCAAAGAAAAGGGGTGGTGTCTGCAGTGCACCCCCAGGAAACCAAGGACAGAGAGGAAGGGACCTGCTGGGATGGCACAGCAAATAGGTGACCCTCAGGCATCACACCCAAGCCCCAGAGGCCCCAAAGCCAGATGGACCCAGGCCGAGTTTGAAAGCAACTTACTCAAGTCCTGCCGGCTCTCTCGGCCCAGAAACGTCTTCATGACACTTTACAGGCCGAAGAGGGCTGCGTTGTTGCTTTGTGCTGAAGTCCCTGGACCTCAGTGACCCCTGAGAGGTGGCTGGGCTCCCTTCCCTGCAGCTAGGCCTGCAGTTCGGAGTAATGACTGGGAGGCAGAGGTCCCACACCCCACACCCCAGAGCCACGCCCAACCCCTTAAGTGACTTCAGGCTGGAGTGCTTCCAGGTGCTCTGCAGACGGTGCTTTGGATTTAAAAAAACAACCGGGACAAAAAAAGTGCGTGGATGGATTTCCTCCTGGGAATAGCAACTTGAAGCCATTTGTTTAGAATGAATGACCCGACCCACGCATGTCTGGCATCTTTCAGTCCTCAAAGCACTTTTGTCCGAAACCGACACTTACCGACCTTCTAGTAACCCTCCCAGGTTGGATCATGCAGGAATGATTAGAAGGAGAGGGGTTTGACCGAGTCACGTAGCCAATTTCTTACTGAGCTAACAATTAGTGCTGCGTTTCCTAACTCTAAATATCATTTCCCTGTCTCCCTCACCTCCGAAATGTGGTTGTTTTCATTGATAGGACTTCCATTTCGTTATTTTTCATCCTGGGTTCAATCCAATCCTTTCTCTTTAAGTGGTTGGAACACAGGTACTTGAAAGCCTCGTTTGCGCTGCTCTGAAATCTGAGCTTCCGTCACCACCTGAGCCCTACTGCCTCTTGTGATGATGAGCTCCTGGTGTGCTTCCTCGGTCTGGTCTCTTGAGTTCATCTTTGGCGGCAGGCACGAGCCTTGAAAGTCCAACACAGAATCGGTGGTGAAGTTCCTTGTGAAGCATTTTCCCATCTGCCTTCCCCAGGGTCTGAGTCTAGATTGTTTTGTTTTGTTTTCAGGTATTGTCTTAGTTTTCCTAATTTCCCAGGTAGTGGAGATTTGCGTTCCACATGTGGGCACAGTATCCCTCCACTGGTCAGGCAGATGGAGGTAATGCCCTTTCTAACACACACTGCCTGGGGGCCAGACAATTCCCATCCCCGGTTCAGAGGGAATGAGACAGGGGCGTAATCCACATGGGAACCCTGCAAATGGATGATATCCACGTTCACTGTCAACCCAACCAGGGACTCAGGAGTTAAGCTCTAATGCACTTAGTGTCTTGGAAATCTCGGCCCCTTTTGTTGTGGACCTGGACTCGTGCCTGAGAGCTGCTGTATAACACATCGCCGGGCTCTGAAGGCCATTGTTGGGCCTGCCTCACAATGGCTTCCACTTGGGCCCAGTTTGTCATTTCCTCTCAAGCTTCCGATGAGCCTCTGCATCCTTCCACTTGTCACACGGAGTTCTCCTGTGATGCCAAATAGAGAAGGCACCCGTAAGCCCCTGCTGGTGTGAGTCGAAGAACACGAAGGATTTGTGAAATGGCTTTTGTCTTCCTTACACCAAGGACTAGCCCTCTTATTTTGCATCGGAAAGAGGTTGAGCTAGAGAATGCCAACGTAGAGGTTTGCAATTGCTTGGATGCCCAATAGTGATTTTGTCTGGGAAATGTCTGTGGCCTCTGAGTTTACATCAGGGTTTCTGGTCCGATGCCAATGAAGTGTTCCTCAATGGCATGGGAATGCAGAGCC